TTTTAAGCGCTTATTAATAAAATTACTTTATAAGAACTATCTTCTAGTTTAATTAAAGTTTATATTATTAATAACTTAACTAGTTCTTAATTTAAATATATTATTATTACTTTAATTTATAATAGTAAACTAGGTTTTATTAGGGAATTTAAGAGACTAAATATCGCTTTATTTCACGCTATACTAGGTTAAATAGTTATTATAAATAGTAAATTTCTCGTTAAGTAAAATAATAATCTTAGTAAGCTATAATAATATTATAAGAAAACTAAATTATATAAAAACTTAACACTTAATAATAAGTTTTACTATAATTATTTATAGTTTAGCTACTATAAAGCTTAATACCCTATTAATCTTATTTATTATAAATATAAGAGATAATAAAAGAATAAACGCTATATTAAATACTTTACTAGAAACTATTAAAATGCTTATACGTATAATTATTTAATAAATAACGTTAATTTTAATTATATTCCTAATAATATTATTTATAACCTCTTCTTTTTAATTAAAGGTACTAATATTATAAAGCCTTAACCTAATAAGAAATAAAAAGCCTAAAGAAAACGCGTACCCTCTTTAATAGGTAAATGAGCTTAACACGTAAAATAGCTTTTATAAGCTATTAACTTTATTACTAATAAACTAAAGAGAGTATCTTATAATAATAACGCTTAAGATATAACTACTAATAATAACGCTATAATAGTTTATAATAGTATTACGTAAAATAATACTACTAATAATACACTTACTACTAATAATAATACTTAGGTTAATACTATTATTACTTAAAATAATAAGAATAATAATACTTAGACGAGTACTATTACTACTTAAGATAATAAGAATAGTAATACTTAAGCTAATATTATTATTACTTAAGATAATAAAGATAATAATACTTAAGCTAATACTAGTAATAATAGTATTAAGTTTACTAGCTAATAAGTAAATAAAACGAAAGATTAAAATAAGGAATTAGCTTATTTAATAGTTTTTTTCTTTTTTTCTTTCTTATTATCTTAATAATAAGGCTATTATCTTTTTTTAAATAAAGGGATATTAAGGCCTATATAATTACGTGTAAGGCACTAAGTTATTATTACTATATTACCACCCTTTAGCTAGCTCTTCTTCTTCTTCTTCTATATAATTAACTTCTTCACTTCTTTTAGCTCTCTTGCAATACAACTTATCAATTGCATCACGAGCTCTTGTAACCTCGCTATAGCTCCCTTCCGTAAGCCCTCACATAGTCGCATATACCGCGAATAATCAAACGGGAAAACCAGTTCATTAACCTGGCCGCCTCCATTTTAAAACACAAAACCCCATCCTCTAAAGCCAAGTTATCTCGAAGCATGGCATCCTTTATCAGCGAATTCCCCGACGCAACTACGCCGTAGTGGATCGCAGGGTTATCCTGACGAGAAGAGCGCTGTTTCCGCTCCACCAGCTTTTCAAGCTGAGTGCCACATACTTCGTCGCAGCATCCTTCGTTGTTGGCGGGGTGTGTGACTTCAGATTTATACAGCCGGTCAGTAGTGAGGTCTGGTTTCCGGAACCCATATCGCAGCTGCGGCCTTTCCCGCAGAATTGCCTTGATGGTCCTATCAACCTCATGGCCCCGTTCCTTGTACTCGGTCTGCAAGGCGGCCACGACAGCCCGTAACGATGACGGCGGTAGATTAAGAGGCCCTTGCCTTGCGTGTTCTTGGTTCTGGATGCGTTTGACAAATTCGTATTGGAGAACACCATGTCCATGGCTCGGGCTGCTGACGACCACATCGCCGAGGCGAATATCATGCTTCTTAGATGGTGCGCCACCAGCGATACCGACCATCAGTGCGACTCGGATTTTGTAGAAGGCATTGATCACGTCCTTGAGAGCAGCCGCGGCAGATGAAATTTCCGTACTGCACCATAGGCAAGATGGCGATGACAATATTGTGCTTCCCAAATTGACCCAGTGTGTAATGGTTATCGTTATTCCTAGGCAAATCGTCGGGCGCTTGATGCCTTTAGTCGAGGAACTGTCGCGCTGCAGTGTATTCTACCGACAGAGCGCAAAGCCAGCCAACAGTGTATTAGGACCTGTCCAATGGCGGTAGTAAATTATTCGACCGGTGGCCATGATCATCATTCGATAGCAGCGTTGTTTCGTATCCGAACCATCAAACTCCCATGTATTTGCATTCACGCCGGCCATTTCACCCTTCAATTGGTACAACTGTAGTGACAAACGCTACCAAACGAGGAGAACGGCAACCTAAACAAGGAGGGCACAGATGACAATATCTTGTGCCCAGTGGGAAGAGAGGGTAGAGGGCAGCTGGGCCAAAGACGTGATATAACGTGTTGGTATCAAAGCTGAACCGAGAAACGACACTATATATAGGGTCGGTATATTCCACTGTGAGTAAATGTGATTCAAATCTCATGTGTTGAAAGGTATACGATAGTCCAACGTGAGCGCACACTTTCACACAGTCTCAACGACGTGGACCTGGATTTTCAGTTTTCGAACGCCTACTTGGCCTGGCGGTCTACCATGCCCCCTTTTTACTCTCAATGAGCCTCGGCGCTTACCCGTCACCAAATCAGCAATAAACTTGGCACAAGACTGGCCGAGAAGCGACATGTTGTCGTAGCATTGCAGGACCGTGAAACCACTCTCCTCTCCCCATTCGCCACCAAGGCATATTGAGCTGGCAGGGCAGTTCCCGGGAATTTCCCCGAGAGCCTAAAACCCATCCTTCCACCGAGTGAGGATTCAAGTCGTGCGGAGAGTACCGACAAAAGAAGCGCCTCCTATTTACCGTGCTTTGTTGGGCCGTCATCACGTAGCACTGCAGCAAGACATGCATCGTAATGCACATGATGTGGCCAGCTGTATCATCTTGAGGGGTGGATGTGGCGTCTGACATCTTGAGAGAAGGTAAAGGCAGATGTGCTGTTCTTGAGATAGAACCTTGTGTGAAGGGCTATTTGGGACTCTGAAAGTGAACGCACATGAGTCCCTGCCCCTTCTCCCCTTTCAACGCCTCCTTTTTCCTCTTTTCGGTCTACGGAGACACGTAACCCAGGAATAATTGCCTTTAGGCCGATACTGGGCCAGCCGTCGAATCTTGGTGGTTAATACGAGACCCCGATACTCCGGCTTGAGGCCTGTATAGGCTGTGTTGTCGTTTTGTGACATGTTTTCATGGTCGGCTTCGCTAACGCCAAGTTTCAGTCGTCTTTCTCACTTATTATCCCAGGGTGAGAACCGGCGGGTAACCCATGGTTCTACTTATGAAACCAATGAGCCATAATACTACGAAACCTCAGGGTTAGTACTGGAATAGGCCTGAATTTTAACACGGCAATATACAAGATTGTGAATCGGTCGCGCCCCTATTTACAATCGTAGCTAATTGGGTCAATGATTGATCAAATGCTCCCGTGTACTAAACGGAGATTAAGCCGAGCACGGCGTAGGCAATCCGTCCAAACGACACGGAGTTTGCTCTAGGTCCATGAACAAATCAGAAAGTCGCGGGGAAAAGGTGAAGCAGAATCTTGTTTAAATTAATGAGAAAGGCATAAAGGTCTCTTGTGGTACATTGGGGGCTCATAAGTGTTCGACCCCCTTCAAAGTCGCTCAACGCCAACCTCACTAGGGCAATAAAAAGGAACACTTCATATTTTTATTTATTTTTTTATCTTTTAAACTATCCTAAGTCCTAATATTCGTGCCACCACTGCATCAGGTAGGGCCTAATTGTACAAACACCGTGTGCCTGGTCGTACCCAAACCGGAGAATCGTGACATACCAAAGGAAACACTGTAGCTTGATATTTTTAAACCATGCTTCAGCTTCTAATATGAATTATAACAATAAATAGTTACGGTTATTTTATTTCAAGGTGTTCTTTATTAACTCCATGCTAACTAGACTTCCTTACGTAATGGTAATTAGTTGGTATCTACAAGAAGGAGTCGAATACTTATAGCCATACATGTACCAGCAGCTATCATCAAAAAGTCCTCCGTATCTACCAGCCAGCAGGCGCATCCATGTTTCACAGCATCACGAAAACCATGACGGCACCCTGAGACCCAGAAACAAGACTACATTTCTCAGGCTCTATGCTTGACTCTAAAGGTGGATGTTTCAACTTAATTCACGGCGACAAAAGGGGGGGAGCACGGCATTGCACTGCGGTAGGCAAGAAGCAGGCAAACAAACCGCACCTCATAAGGCTTCGGATGAAGCTATAGCTATAGTACAGAACCTTATGCATCGAGATATATATCGTCATATATACCAGCAACCCAGATGTCTCAAGTATCTTCTACTCGGAGCCAGAATATCGCGGACTCAAAATAGAGCACTTTCACGTCTTTTATACTCTAATATGTATTCTAATCCATATTGACAATTCAGTCTTGTCTGCATTCATCAACGTCAACATGCAAAGGCACGCAACCAGCACGCACGCCTCGTCCATGAAGCGTATTCCGCAAAACCCAGCCACCCGGCCTCGTCACATGCATTCCAGGCATCACGACCACTCAACACTCTCCCCAGAAACAAAACCCAATTTGCTACCAAAACGCCCCGATCTCTTTCCCAACGCTCTCAACGACCCTGTATGCCCCTCTTTTAAAAACGCCTCGCAGCCCAAATCCATCACCACACCGTCTCGGTAAACCAGCGCGACCGGTAGAGCATCTGATTCCACATGCTCCCGCGCATGCGGCCGTCGGCCAGAAACCCAACGCTCTCGCCATACGTCTGGTTCCAAAGGGCCTGGACGTACAGCGTGTCGCCGTTGGCCAGCATGCTGAGGGACTTGATATCCGACCTGGGCAGGGCGACGCCGTCCAGCCCGACGCGCGCACCCGCGGGCTGAAAGCCAGCCAGGCACTTGTCGGCGACGGGCTGGCCGTGCTCGACCGTCCCGGCATCGACACGGTACAGATGGACATGCAGGTCGGTCGTGATCAGGAGCTCGTCCCGGCCGGGGACCGGCACCACGGCATGCGCCCCGTCCCACCAGGGCGTCTGGCCGCCCCATTCGGCGGTGAGGCGCACCGCGTCCGCCAGCACCGCCGTCGCCCGAGGCGTCGGCTGGGGGCG